GCAGAGGGGCTGTGGTGCAGCAGGGGGCGCCAGAGCTTCAGCAAACATACGCTCTATATGTATGTGCTGTATACTATATATCTGTGTGTGTGTGTGTGTGTGTGTGTACAGTATGGACACGCATGTTCGAGGATATTTCCTTCTGAGAACAAAAATCTGATTTTATTTATTTCAGTTTGGAGATTTTAGTTAAAATGTTTCTGCTGAAAATAAATAATCAGAGTTATTCTAACAGTTACTTTTAAAAGTCAGTTATTTTAATAATTATTTAATTGGTTATTTTGATTTTAATAGTCGGAGTTATTTTAATCGTCATGTTTAATTCTTATAGTCACGGTTATTCCAATAGTTATTTTAATAGTTTTAGTTATTTTAATGGTTCTGATTAATTTTCTTTGTTACAGATATTATAATCATCACCGTTATCCTCATAGTTATTTTCAGAGTTATAGTTATTTTTCATGGTCATGGTTATTATAATAGTTATGGTTAATATTATTGGTTATTCTAACAGACTCCTCCTCAGGTCTGTCTCTGCTGGTTATTTTAACTGTTGTTTTAATTGTTATGGTTCATTCTAATCGTTAAAGTTGTTATAATAGTCACAGGTAATTTTATTGATTATGGTTAATTTTAGTAGTTAAAGTTATTTTACTAGTTATGATTATTCTAATAGTTGTAGTTATTTGAAGAGTTATAGTTAATTTTAATGGTCACAGATATAATATTAGTTATTTCAAAAGTTTTAGTTATAATACAGTTATTTTATTAGTTATTATATTGGTTATGGTTCATTCTAATATTTTTGGTTGTTACTGTTATTATCAGAGTTATGGTTAGTTTTAATAGTTATGGTTCAATTTATTATAAGAGTCACAGTTAATTTTACTGGTTAGGGGTTATTCTAAAAGTTATTTTAAGCATTATAGTTATTTTTAATGGTCACAGTTGTTATTATAATAGTTATTTAATTTGTTAGAGTTATTATAATAATTACAGTTAATTTGAATAATTATTAATATTCTGATAGTTAAAGTTATTATAATCGTTATTTTAATAGTTATAGTTAATTTTAATAATTATTAATATTCCGATAGTTAAAGTTATTATAATCGTTATTTTAATAGTTATAGTTAATTTTAATAATTATTAATATTCTGATAGTTAAAGTTATTATAATCGTTATTTTAATAGTTATAGTTAATTTTAATAATTATTAATATTCTGATAGTTAAAGTTATTATAATGGTTATTTTATTGGTTATAGTTGATTTGAATAATTATTAATATTCCGATAGTTAAAGTTATTATAATGGTTATTTTATTGGTTATAGTTGATTTTAATCGTCACGGTTTATTCTTATAGTCACTCACAGACTCTCCTGATCTTCAGGTCTTGGTTTTGAGGCCGTGTCTGAGGATCTTCTGGGTTCAGGACTTTGTTGGTCTCTGGACTGGATCAGTCAGTCGTTACTAAAGTTGGTATAACTAGAGAAGGAAGCGGTCGGTGACATTCATCTCTGGAGGGGGGGTCTAACTCGGTGTTACGGTGGGTTTGACCCTAACTTAATTTTACAGCAGAATATCCCTTTAAGGGAGACGTGGATCCTCTGGGACCCTGACAGAGTCTGACTCGAGTTCTTCACTTTCCAATCTGGACTGTGAAGGTGAGGAGGTGTTCATGAAGCAGCTTGACTCTGGACGGAGCAGAACTGTCTCCTGATTCTGATCCATGTGGGTCCATAACAGGGACATGAACATCTCCATGTGAACCTGCAGCACCAACCGCTCCACCCGAAAACAAAACAGTCTTTTATAGTCCAGATCAGAGGACTGTGTGTTGGTGAGAAGACCTTCAGAGGAGATGGTTTCAGGTGGATCTTCATAAACGGTTCAGTCTGACCCACGTGACCCTCTCAGGAGTGCTTACATCCCCGTGTCCTTGGCGCTGACGCTGAACCGCTTCATTTAACGACCACAGCGGCCATATAACTGACAAACCACTCAGCTCCGTTTCAATCTGCCGCCATCGGCCTTGAGGGACGTCATCCACGGGCGCTGACCTCTTGACCTCTGACACTTCTGCCTTGGATTGAGTATCCGTCCATCTTCTTTATCCACGACTGCGCCTCATTTTATAGTCAGTAAGAAAAACAGCCCTGAGTGAGTGTGTGTGTGTGTGTGTCCAGGTCAGCTGATTCTGCATCCTCACACACACACACACACACACACACTCACATAATGGAATTAAACCCATCCATCAGGGTTTTAGCTGCAGTCAGCAACATTTCTCCCTCACAGTTATGCTAATGGACCTTCACTCCATTTGTTTCCACTGGAGGTAAGAAGTATCAGGAACCCTGAGCTGATGCTGCGGCGGTGGTGGCGGCGGCGGTGGACTGACACGGCCGTGTTTGGAGGGATCTTTATGACGCTCCTTTTAATGGAACATAGATCTTCTAGATCTTTAGTCCTGGGGGAAGACGCCCCTCACCCCTCACTTCGCTCAGGCAGTCCATCAAGTCCTCCACCCAGGACCATTTTAAGACCCGGTAACTAAAAGAAACCAGGAGGTCCAATCAGCAGGTTAACGCAGAGAAAGACAAAATAAAATACAATAAAGTAAAATAAAAAAATAAATATATATGATTGAATAAGATAAAATTAGATAAGATGAAATAAAAAAAAGATAAAATAAAATAAAACAAAAATAAATAAAATAAAATAAAAGATAAAAAGATTTTAAAAAAAGATAAAATAAATATAAATAAGATAAGATTAAAAAAGATTGGAATAAAATAAGATATAATGAAATATCAAATAAAAAATGTAATAAGATAAAATTATAAAAAGATGAGCTTAAATAAGAAAAGAGGAACCTGTCTTTATCCCAGAGGATAAATTTAATTTAATCAAATGTAGTTTTTGTTATATCAGGTGGGTTTACCTGTTACCTGGTAATGCAGGTTGAAGGTCACATGATCAGGATGTTAGTCTGTTTTAAATGGATAAAAAGATGGCTGCTGTCCTAAATAATCAAGTCACTTTGTCTTCATGAGTCGACTCCTCCTGTTTTATGACTCAGCAGAAAAAAAACTGATATTTGAGATTCATTCAGAGGGACTGAGATTAGAGAGCTGACAAAAGCTTCGAGAGGTGCTTCTCCTCTCACTTCACTCCTCGTCTCCTGACTCCTCGTCTCCTGACTCCTCGTCTCCTGACTCCTGCCAATCTCCCCGTGGGGGGGGCTGTTGGCCCCTGCTCTCTAACACAAACACCACGGTGACATTAAGGAGTGCTTACGCTGCCATAAAACAGAAGAAGAAGAAGAACGCTGTAAAGTACATTTGTGCTGAGCTGGGATCTGCTGACTCATCCAAAAACAACTCTGTGTTTTTGACCGAGAGCCACAAACAAGGAAACAAGGAAACAAGGAAACAAGGAAACAAGGAAACAAGGAAACAAGGAGACCAGGAACCAAGGAGACCAGGAAACAAGGAAACAAGGAGACCAGGAGACAAGGAAACAAGGAGACCAGGAAACAAGGAGACCAAGGAAACAAGGAAACAAGGAGACCAGAAAACAAGGAAACAAGGAGACCAGGAAACAAGGAGACCAGGAGACCAGAAAACAAGGAAACCAGGAAACAAGGAGACCAGGAGACCAGCAAACAAGGAGACCAGAAAACAAGGAAACAAGAAGACCAGGAAATAAGGAGACCAGGAAACAAGGAAACAAGAAGACCAGGAAACAAGGAGACCAGGAAACAAGGAGACCAGGAAACAAGGAGACCAGAAAACAAGGAAACAAGGAGACCAGCAAACAAGGAGACAAGGAGACCAGCAAACAAGGAAACAAGAAGACCAGGAAACAAGGAAACAAGGAGACCAGGAAACAAGGAAACAAGAAGACCAGGAAACAAGGAAACAAGGAGACCAGCAAACAAGGAGACAAGAAAACAAGGAGACCAGGAAACAAGGAAACAAGGAGACCAGGAAACAAGGAGACCAGGAAACAAGGAGACCAGGAAACAAGACCTCAAACCCTCAGCCGGGGGGTCTACAGGGATTTACTCTGAGTTCTGAGTCCTAAAGTCTTCCTGTCTGATCCAGTGTTGGAGTTTCTGTTTGAGACAGAGGAGCTCGGGTTGTTCTGGTTAACGGTGTCACCACTGACCCTCCTCTGAAGACCTCTGACCCTCCTCTGAAGACCACTGACCCTCCTCTGTAGACCTCTGACCCTCCTCTGTAGACCTCTGACCCTCCTCTGAAGACCTCTGACCCTCCTCTGAAGACCGCTGACCCTCCTCTGAAGACCTCTGACCCTCCTCTGAAGACCGCCGACCCTCCTCTGAAGACCACTGACCCTCCTCTGACCCTCCTCTGTAGACCTCTGACCCTCTTCTGTAGACCACTGACCCTCCTCTGAAGACCACTGACCCTCCTCTGAAGACCTCTGACCCTCCTCTGTAGACCTCTGACCCTCCTCTGTAGACCACTGACCCTCCTCTGAAGACCACTGACCCTCCTCTGAAGACCGCCGACCCCGCCGTCTTCTTACTCTGGTTTGACCTTGGTTTGACCTTCACATTGACATTGGGGGTCTGTTTAGTGGGACAAGGCCTGCAGACATGTGCTGCGCTCGAGTTTCCTCAGAACTCAGATGTCGGAGCTGAAAATGACGTCACCCTCCAGTTCCCCGAGTTTCAGTTCCCAAGTCGGAAAAAAGCGAAATCGGTGGTGGAAACAAGATGGCGACATCTACGCACGTTATTTTAGCGCTTGCCTTGTCTGCATATAACGCAAACGCTAAAACCACTTTCATAGATGTAGCCATCTTGTAATCCATCAACACAACACAACACACACACACACAGCACACACACAACACAACAAAAACACTACACAACACAAACACACACACAACACACACAACAAAAACATACACACAAACACACACACACACACAAACACACACAAACACACACAACAACACACACACAAACACACACAAACACACACACACAAACACACGCACAAACACACAAACACACACACACACAACGAGCCAATGAGAACAGAGGGACTAAAAACACAAACAGGTAAACGAGATACAGGTGAGACTAATGAGAGATTAACAACTCCTACAAAATAAAACAGGAAATAAACAAGGAATCAACTCCTACAAAATAAAACAACAGGAGTGAAACAGGGTCAAACTGAAAACTCACGAGATTGGACAACAGGGAAAATAAACTCTAAACAAACAGGTCATGTGACCACGTGGACGGACCACAGCGGCTCATAGATGTTATTAAAACAGTAGACTTCCTGTATTTTTGTGACGGAGTCTAAAAGTCGAATCCTGTTTTTCTAGATCTCCAGGGTAAGAACCTTCAGGACGCTCATGTTCTGAACGTCGGACAGTCAGTCAAGAACCTGAACCAGCTGCTGGTCTCAGATGAACTGGTCCCACTGGTTCTGTGTGTGATATATGATCTGAAGTGAAGCGCTGTCAGCCCGTCTTCAGCTCCATCCATCTTCTCTCATTTCAAAGACATTAGTCGGACCCAGACGCTCCACTGAACTCTCAAATGAAGAAACCACATCAGCATGTTTCCTTCTGCGTGACCACGGCGGCGGCGTCTCCCTCAAACCCCTGAGCAAACAGTTTTTGTCTTGGCCCGTGTCCTGGTCCGTCTGTCTGTGATCCATCAGCAGGTCTCCTGGATCCTGCGTCAGTCTGAGATGGGGGGCCGTGGTTTATCTCTGTGATTCAGTGTTTGCACCGCCTCCACCTGCAGGATCCAGCAGCTCCTCGTCTATCCGACCTGATGGAGCGTCAGCCCACGTCAGCCTCGGTCTGACCCGGAGGACGGTCCTGATCTGCTGAAATCAGGAGATTCTGTGGGGCTACGGCCCCGTGATCGATCCGGGCCTGCAGCCAGAGGTCCATTAGTGAAGGAGGAGGGACCAGAGACCAGAACCACTTAGCAGAGGGGCTCCCCTTAGTCCCTGACAGCATCCACTTCAGATCCTGACATTCACCCACACATTAATGAGATTAAATATAAATACGTATAATCTAACATCATTATATATAAATGTGTCATTAAAGAGGAGATTATTCTCAGTGAAACAGGATTTATTTAAAGGGACATTCTGCTGTAAATTAATGTAGGGTCAAACCCACCATAACACCGTGTTAGACCCCGCCCCCTCCAGATGTGAATGTTGTCGACCGCTTGCTTCTCTAGTTATACCAACTTTAGTAACGACCGCAGGATAGAAATACAGAGAGACACGCCCCCAACCAAAACGCCACTCTATAGCCACAAATAATGCTCAGAACAGCACCTAACTTCATCAACAGGACATAGAGGGTCACAGACATAGTACTAGACACCAAACATCTTTTTAACTTTGACTCATTTCTTTAACAAAGAGACTAAACACAACTCACCTACTCTCTTCCAGCAGACGCTTGTTTGTAGAGAGACCTCAGGCCAGTCCATTACAGACTACAGCGGGGTGCCGCAGCTCAAGGAAGAACATTTATGATCATTTCTTCATGGAAATACAATCAGACCGAGACGCTAAGACAGAAGAACTACCGCGTCTGTAAAATGATTAATGTTATGATTATTACTTCGATAAAGAAATGAGGTCTTTAAGGGAACAACGTCTGGTCTTTGATCTCCAGGGCCCGTTATACTCATCTGAAATCAATCAAATATCAATAATCGCTGATCGCAGTTTCACAAACTTCTCCTTGTGTCTTTTTTTCCATCAGAAACATAAATCTACTTTTTCTCTGGAACAGTCAGGCTTCACGGTGAACCTGTGCAGACAGGATGATCCCCCTCATGATGGTGGTCAGCATCGGACCGTCCACCTTTGGACTCATCGAGAGGTCCAAGGACCGAGGCGTCCTCATTCAGGGGACATGAGACCAGGCCGAACCACGGGCCAAATAAAGGTGTGTTTTTAAGACTCAGCTGAGGTCTGAGTCCGAACATAAATCAGCTGTAAGAAAAACTCATGAATCAGGAAGTGGACGGTCGTCAGTGGAGCAGAGTGAGGAGAGAGAAGAAAAACTGGATCCTCCAAATTACCTGATTAATCACTTTGGCAAGATCCTCCTGAAACAATTTTATGGCTCATCAGACCAGAACCGCAGACCAGAACTGCAGACCGGGGCGGCTCTGCTTTAAGGGCCCAGCTGGGTTTTTTTTTTATCCTTTATTTAGAAAAAAGATTAAAGTTAAAAAACAACATGAATTAAAATCAGAGAAGAAGAAGAAACAGGGATCATCGTCATCGGAGAGTTTAGTGCTCATAAAAACACATTTATCCAAGGTTACTTCAGGTCAATCAGAGCAGAAACAGTCAGTCAGAAACAGTCAGAAACAGTCAGGAAACAGTCAGTCAGAGACAGTCAGAAACAGTCAGAAACAGTCAGAGCAGAAACAGTCAGTCAGAAACAGTCAGAAACAGTCAGTCAGAAACAGTCAGTCAGAGACAGTCAGTCAGAGTCGGTCAGAGAAGTCAGTCAGAGACAGTCAGAAACAGTCGGTCAGAAACAGTCAGTCAGAGACAGTCAGAAACAGTCAGTCAGAAACAGTCAGAAACAGTCAGTCAGAGACAGTCAGAAACAGTCAGAAACAGTCGGTCAGAAACAGTCAGTCAGAAACAGTCAGTCAGAAACAGTCAGAAACAGTCGGTCAGAAACGGTCAGTCAGAAACAGTCGGTCAGAAACAGTCAGAAACAGTCGGTCAGAAACAGTCAGTTAGAGACAGTCAGTTAGAAACAGTCAGTCAGACACGGTCAGTCAGAAACGGTCAGTCAGAAACAGTCGGTCAGAAACAGTCAGAAACAGTCAGTCAGAAACAGTCGGTCAGAAACAGTCAGAAACAGTCAGTTAGAGACAGTCAGTCAGAAACAGTCAGTCAGAAACAGTCGGTCAGAAACAGTCGGTCAGAAACAGTCAGTCAGAAACAGTCGGTCAGAAACAGTCGGTCAGAAACAGTCAGTCAGAAACAGTCGGTCAGAAACAGTCAGTCAGTTAGAAACAGTCAGTTAGAAACAGTCAGTCAGTTAGAAACAGTCAGTCAGTTAGAAACAGTCAGTTAGAAACAGTCAGTTTGGAACAGTCAGAAACAGATCTCCTTTTTATACAGAACAAACGAGAGTACGGCTGATACAGACTCACAGAAACCTGATCCAGAACCCGACCTTTGGACCGACCCGGTCATTAAACTGAGCAGGTTTTTTCCCTCCAGTTTGTTTCTCTGTTAGAATAAATGATTTTTCTATAGAGTCAAAACTGCGGTTAGTCAAACAATTAAACATGATTTTTATTTTAAATATCTATATTCATATAGATAGATAAAAACATAGATACACACACATACATAGATACACACAAACATAGATAGGTACACACAAACATAGATACACATGTATCTTTGTATAGATAAGTTGAATGTAGAGTTAGCGTCACATAAAGATAAGTCGTCTAAAGCTGAAGCAGGTTTCAGTTACTCTGCAGATGGTCATTGATTATTAATTAGACGTTTATTGATCCCCTGAAGAGCTGAGTGGACACGATCACACACAGCAGATGCCTCCCATGACGGCGGTAGTTAACATCAGCTGACAGGAACGTTAAAGAGCGATCTGCTCTGGACTGGATTTAGTCTTCACTGCACACAAACCAGAGGTCTGAGGACTCATTCAGTCATAGATGATGATGAACGGATGAATGTTTTCATTTAGAGAGAGAGAGAGAGGGTGAACCCTGACCATCTCTGTGAAGAGTGAACGAGCTTCATGTTCCTGAAGTTCAGAGTCCAAAATAAAGACTCATCCAGATTCATGTGATAATAATATTCATTCATTCATTCAGGGTCAGAACTTCTCCTTCACCGTCTCAGATGATCATCTTCTCAGAGGACTTGGTGGTGAGGAGGTTTCTCTGATTTACTGCAGGAACAGCAGCTGATGACAGACTCATATCGATCCTCTCTGAACTGGACCAAGATAAACGGCTGATCAGAGGTTCCGGTCTTCAATCAGACCCTGACCACCGTCCTCCTGGCTCACAGCAGCATCCTGATCCGACCTTCACCTGGTCTGTGATCGACTCATGAAACCCTGACATGGAGAAGAATTACAGAGTCCAGATGAGTCCATGTCAAACGGGTCTTTAGCAGGACACACGGTCGGCCTTCACCTGATTCACCTCTCTCTCTCTCTCTCTCTCTCTCTGTTCCTCTCCCTCTCTCTCTCTCTCTCTCTCTCTCTTCCTCTCCCTCTCTCTCTCCCTCTCTCTCTCTCTCTCTCTCTCTCTCTCCTCCTGATTCATTAGCAGGACTCTCGGCCCTCCTGCCCCTTTTTTACAGCCTCCATTAAATCCTTGCCCCACCCTCCATCTTTATGGCGTCCTGGCGCCACGCGGCGTTTTGTCACTCTTAGACACTTTGATGAAAATTCAGTTCAAACTGTGAAATATTTCAGAGTCTGTGATGACGACGGCGGCAGATCCAGAACCAGTGAGAGACTGATGGAGGGACGGGTCCAAAGACGGGACTGTGAGGAGATCAGAGGAGTCCAGCTGACCTCCATGTTAGGGCTGGGCGATAAAACGATCACGATATTGATTAAAAAATTAATTTCCCTCAATATCGATTTAAAACATGATCAATATCCTTTTCAATAGTCGTCATTCTGACATGGGGTCTGAACCAATCATGAGCCGAATTAGAACCAAGTATCAAACAGCAGCTTCACTGTGTGTCGCTGTAGTTTACCAGAGTATGATGGACTTTTCCAAACTGGAAACCAGTTAAACCAGACCAACCAAACTGCAGAACAACAGCCGACTTACAGTCAGACTGAATACTACTATCAAACTATCAAACACAGTACTCAGTACTCAGTCTGAAGTATCTCCTGAGTACTGCGGTCAGCTGGAGTACGCAGGAGGTCAGTTCAAAAACAGACTCTGTCAGAGGCGGACCGGAGTCAGACGGTGGCGTCCCCGATGAAACCTCGGCTCAGTCTGATTGGACGCTGAATTATCTCTGAATTATCTGTGTCGTCGGGATAATTACTGTGGGTTTCCCTGCAGACTTTGAACCATCAGCACGTCCAGAGAGGGGAACAGAGACGCTGCAGTGAGGTCTGGACCGTAATGGGATAAGTCACACCGCAGAGTCCAAGGTCGGGGGGAGGAGAGGACGCTCTCCTCCAGAGCCGCTGAACATCCACAGACAAACACGGTCATGTGACCCTGGAGGAGTCATCCATGATCACAGACCCACACAGGAACAAAGAGGTCTCAGTGTTGGACCTGATCCTCAGCTGAAACCACATGGCTGCTGGTTATACTGGGTGAGCGTCAGCTGACTGGGAGGAGGTTTGTGTTTGTGTTTGCTGCTCTCTTTAGATCACTCCTGGTTTTTTAGCTCTATTCCCAGTATTTTATTGTATTCTTTACTGTTTTGTATTTCTGGTAATCCAGATTAGAGTCCTCTGTACTGTGAACACGCCCATGAATGAACACTGTCCCATCGAAATGAACATTTAACTAAACTAAACTAAACTAAAGTAAAGTAAACTAAAGTAAACTAAACTAAAGTAACCTAAACTAAACTAAAGTAAACTAAACTAAACTAAACTAAAGTAAACTAAAGTAAACTAAACTAAAGTAAACTAAAGTAAACTAAAGTAACCTAAACTAAACTAAACTAAACTAAAGTAAACTAAACTAAAGTAAACTAAACTAAACTAAAGTAAACTAAACTAAACTAAAGTAAACTAAACTAAAGTAAACTAAACTAAAGTAAACTAAAGTAAACTAAAGTAAACTAAAGTAAACTAAACTAAAGTAACCTAAACTAAACTAAACTAAACTAAAGTAAACTAAAGTAAACTAAAGTAAACTAAACTAAACTAAACTAAACTAAAGTAAACTAAAGTAAACTAAAGTAAACTAAACTAAAGTAAACTAAACTAAAGTAAACTAAAGTAAACTAAACTAAACTAAACTAAAGTAAACTAAAGTAAAGTAAACTAAACTAAACTGAAGTAAACTAAACTAAAGTAAACTAAACTAAAGTAAACTAAACTAAAGTAAACTAAACTAAACTAAAGTAAACTAAACTAAACTAAAGTAAACTAAACTAAAGTAAACTAAACTAAAGTAAACTAAACTAAAGTAAACTAAACTAAACTAAACTAAACTAAACTGAAGTAAACTAAACTAAACTAAAGTAAACTAAACTAAACTAAACTGGAAAGTGTTTTTCTCCTGACACCAAATAATAATTATTAGACCAGGTTAGTAAATATAGTAAATATAGTAAACATAGTAAATATAGTAAATATAGTAAATATAGTAAATATAATCCACAGGATGAACGAGGCCCAAATATTTGTTTAATGTTGAAATAATTATCACATTTAAGTTAAATCAGCCGTTCTTGAAAGAAACAGAGAAAGTCTTTGTGTTAAACGAGCTCTCATCATCATCATCATCATCATCATCATCATCATCATCATCATCATCTTCATCATCATCATCACCATCATCATCATCATCATCATCATCATCATCAGTGTGAGTGGGTTCAGACGGCTCCACTGCCTTATATAGAGGTCCCTGTGAGACAGGTCCAGGTCCAGGTCCCCTATTTATTATTTATTAAAATAAATAAACTAAAGTCTCATTTAAAGGAACATTTTGGTAAAAGAAAAATTCTATTATATTTTTGTTTTATTAAAATGATCAGAAGGTCCTCTGTTAGTCAGGTAAACGTGAATATATGTGTGTGAGTGTGTGACATATGTGTGTGTGTACGTGTGTGTGTGTGTGCGTGTGAACATGTGTGTGTGTGTGTGTGTGTGTGTGTGTGTGTGTGAGAGGTTAGTCTCCCTTTATTTACGTTATTGATCGAACAGCTGAAGGAAACAACGAAGTTCAAAAATGAACTCACTGCTGTGACACACACACACACACACACACACACACACACACACACACACACACACACACACTCACAGTGACCTTTTCCTCCACAGACCCTCAGGCTTCCTGCTCCACCTGAAAACTCTCGTCTCTCTCTGACGGAGATCTACGACCTCCTCTGGATCCTGAATTAAGTTCTCCTGAAACAGAACGTGGATCTGAGTTCTGTGGGTTTAAAACGTCCCAGAACCAGAACCAGAACCAGTTTACTGCTGCCTGATTCCCTCTCTGGACTCAGAGACCCCCCCTCGAAGTCCTCATGCAGGTCCAGACTCCAGAACAAATAAACCACTTTAATGACTTTATTGATTAGTTTTCAATCATTTCGGGTCACAGTGTCGCTGACAAGAACTCGATGGTTCTGTATCCTGGTGAAACGACGCTCCACTACGTTCAGTCAGACCGGGTCAGACCCTGCAGCAGCAGAACCGCCAACCCACCCCTCCTGATGTAATGACGGCGTTGGTTTAGAGGAGAAAAGAGCCTCCAGGAGAAGAACTCATTATTTCTGAAACACATCCACCCTGACCTTTCCAGGTAATAGACTGTTCCCCCCTCACAGCAACAACCACCTGAGCGACGCCGCTCATGTAGAACGACCACGATACGAACATCAGTCCTGCTGCCTCGAACATGAGGACGACTCATATATAAACTAATATTATATTAATGATGAACTAATGAGGGAAGGACAAACTGTTGAACCCTTAAAAACTCTTCATTCTGTCCCGTTCACTTCCACCTCCAGAACCTGATCTGGACCCTCAGTCTGTCCTCAGTCCTCTGCTCATGGACAGGATGAAGAGACACTGATCAGTAAATCATTAAACATTAATAATAATAATAATAATAATAATAATAATAATGAAGACACAGACAGACATGTTGATTTTTTACAGTATTTACAGTAAAGAAGATTAAAAAAAAATCACTGTGATCCAAACCAAACCACCGCCCTCAAGAGAACAGGACCGGCTGACCTTCACACTGCAGATCTGCTGTGTGCTGGAAGACGACCATAGGGCTCTACGGCAGAGCTCCGCCTGAGGGCTCTGAGCTCTCAGACGGAGCTCTGCAGTAGAGCCCCCAGTTGTTAATAAACACATACTTCTGTTTAACCGCAGCTGAAAAACGTGGAAACTGTGAGTGTGGACGGAGCTACGGTGGCCGAAAACTGCCAATGCTGCAAATAAAAAAAGAATAATAATGAAAAAAAAAGAAGTCACAACAAAAGCAAAAAAAAAAACAAAAACAAAGACCGCTGCAAAAAAAAAGAAACTGCAGATTAAAAAAAAAAGAAGTTACTTACTGCGAAAATAAAAGGGTGCAGATTTTTGAATAAAAAAAAGGAAGTTAATGACGTAAAAAAAAAGAATCCGAAGCCTGCTGCAAATAAAAAAGAAACAGTGCAGTTAAAAAAAAAACACCACAGAAGTAAATGACACAAAAAAAGGGGTGATGCAAAAGAAAAAATAAAAGGATGCAAATAAAAAAAGTCCACAACAGAAGTATCTGCTGGGGACCGATAATGATGACGCACCGTTGTTTTACGATCTCGGTACAGAAGACGACGGCGAGAAGACGATCAAAGAAGTTCGTGTAAAGGTTCTTGTTTAATTTGACTGAAGTCTAACTGGAGGATGTCGGAGTAGAGTTAGCTTCAGTTCATCGTCATACGGACTCAGGCCCGACACGGTTAAACCACATTAAAAAGTTTACAAAGTGAAATTAATCAATAACCTTTCCATGAACTCCTTTGATCGTCTTCTCGCCGTCGTCTTCTGGACCTTCTTTTTTTTTTTGCATCGGTAACTTCTGTTGAGTCTTTTTTTTTTGCATTCTTTTTTAAAATTTGCAGCAGTGGCAGTTCTCGGCCTCCGTACTAAACACTACGATAATATCCTCGCTGATGCAGATCTGAAACAGGACGCCAAGAAACCGAAACTCATTTACAACAATGAACAGATGAGCGGGAGGGGTGTTATCTGTCCACACGAGGGTCCTGTCAGTCTGTCCTCACACGTCCATGTCCTCAAACGTCCACGTCCTCACCCGCCTCCCCTAATCCTCAGATTAGGACGTGAAATCAACCAGCTCCAACCTTCCAGATGAATTTAGTCGGGGGTGGAGGGTCAGAGATGTTTCTGCTCGTTGTCCAGCCCTGAGAGACCCCCGCAGAGAGAACGTCTCTGAGTCCACTGAAGGACAGCCGCTCATCCAAGCGGAGAAGATAACAGGAGACAGGAAGTCGATCCCTTCAGGGACAGACGGGGGCGGAGCCTCCATGTTGATTAAAGATTGAATTCATGCAGCCGTTCCAGCAGTTCAGGGGTTAAACTTCACCTCCACCTGTCTGTGAGGGAGTCCAGCTACGACACGCAGAAACCTGATTGGCTGAGTTTTACTTCACTGAGCATGCTCCGAACCCCTGACCCAGAGACGCACTCCCATGATCCTCTCTGTTCATGCAGACATCAGCGAAGACTTCTGCTCCCAGAGAGTCTGAACTTGGCGGCTGAATCAATACGGAGCATTACTCTGAACAAACATCAACATTATGGCGTCCGCTCACATGCATCATCGCCGCCGCCGCTCTCTCGGGCAGAAAATGGACTCTCAGAGCTCTGAGGAAGGTTCAGATGAGTCCCTCAAGACTTACTGGGTTTAGATTTCACAGCTGATGGTCCCGGTCAGAGAATAGACGCCGTCTGCCTCCTCTCTGTGAGAACAGCGCCCTCTGGTGACGGGCTGCAGTACCAAGATTGTGTAGCTCACCCGGAGCGTCATCACAGCGTCAACGGAGAAAAAAACACGGAATTACGGAGAACGTTTCAGCTTCAGTATCCTGGCGGGACGAGGAGTAAATAGAGTCTGTGGTCCCGGTGTCTGGGTCAGGAGGAGGTCAGGGAGGCGGGTCTGAGAGGAACCTCATTTCTCACAGGTGTCGTTGTTGTAGACCTCCATGTCCTGCAGACTGGAGGCGTCCGTGTCGTCTCCGGCGCTGCTCAGACTGTTTCTGAAGGACAGTCCTCCGATGAAGGGGTACATGGTCCCGGTGAAGAGCTCTCTGATGTTGTAGTGGGGCAGTTCTGGGTCCGGTCTCTCGGGTTTGGGTTCACACTTGCCCTCCATGGCTTTGTTCCTCTGGTAGTACTTGGAGAACTTGTTGAAGATGATGGTGATGGGCAGAGCGACCACCAACAGTCCACAGACGATACACAGAGTCGCCACGATCTTCCCCGGCAGCGTCACCGGGCAGGTGTCTCCGTAACCCACCGTCGTCATGGTGATGGTAGCCCACCACCACCCTGAGGGGATGGTCCCCAGATCCGTGCTCTGAGCCTCTTTCTCCGCAAAGTAGATCAGCGCCGAGAAAATGGAGATCCCCACGGAGAGGAAGAGCAGCAGCAGACCCACCTCGTGGTAGCTGTGGCGGACCGTCGCTCCCAGCGCTCGCAGTCCGATGGAGTGGCGGGCCAGTTTGAGGATACGAAGGACCCTCATCAGGCGCAGAACCTGCACCACCTTCCCCACGTTCTCCAAGTCCTCGCTCTCCTCGGCGGTTTCCTCATCGGCTGTCTCCAGAGCTAACGTGGCGTAAAACGGCAAAATGGAAGCCACGTCGATGATGTTCAAAGGGTTCCCGAGGAACTTCCTGCGGGACGGAGCGACGATCAGTCTGATGATGAACTCAGCCGAGAAACAGGCGATGCAGATCACCTCAAGGACGGCGAGGACCGGATCCTCGATGGGTCTTTCGTTTTCGTCCAGGCGCTGGAACTCGGGCATGCTGTGGACGCACATGGCGATAATGGAGGTCAAGACCACGCTGAGGGAGGCCACGGCGATAACCTTGGACGCCGTCGAGTGACCCGGATCCTCCAGCCGAAGCCAAATGTAGCTCCTGACCTCGCCACACCACGCCCCTTTAAACTTGGCCAGGTCTTTGTCCAGAGCCGAGAGCTCCTCGAAGGACGAGTCCAGGCTGGGCTGCTGCTGGTCGTCGCTCCGGATGTCCCAGTCCCGGTCCTCCATGTACTCCTTCCTCTCATGGTACCAGTTACTGCAGCAGGAACTCAGGTGAAGTTCCTGGATCCCCCAGTACTCGATCTCCTGGCTGAAGGAGAAGACGCACAGCTCCTCCATCGTGTGGATCTGTCCCGTGTTGTAGAAGTTGAGGACACAGAGGAAGACCCGCGGGTTCCTGTCGAAGTAGAACTCCCTCTCCGCCGGGTTGTAGTCGTCGCACAGCTCTAGGATCGCCGCCTCGCTCCGACAGCGCAGCAGACGAGCCAGCCGCGTGTGAGGGAACCGGAGCAGGGTCCCCGGGTCCACTTTGTGCCGGACACCTCCCACGTTGAGGTGGATCTGGTCCTCCTGGCTGCCCCGCGGGTGGAGGAATTGCCCGTACCCCATGGTCCTGATGGTGCAGAGTTATCACAACGAGAGAGGAAGTCTGTCAGCGTTATAGATTTTATGACAAGAAAATGTGCAACAAGCATTTTCAGACAGGCGAGGGGGGGGGGGGACTGATGCATTTATTCAGGGGGAGGGTGAGGAGGGTGAGGAGGAGGGTGAGGAGGAGGAGGAGGAGGAGGAGGAGGAGGCCACATTTAAGGGCTGTGTTTGTGGAGCACATTAGTCTCCTGGAGGAAGAGAGAAAATCAATAGCGCTCACACAGGAAATGGTTTCAGCTGGAGAGAGTGAAGAAGCGCGAGCCGCCGCCGCCGCTGCTGCTGTCACTTCGTGGATTATTAGCAGAGGAATCGAATTACAGAGCGGCGCGGGCAAACACGGAGAGGCAACAAGTCCAAACCTAAAACCTGATCCAAACACATCTATGTAGGTCTAGATCTATGTGGGAGATTCACTCTCAGAGAATCTCCCACTTCTGTGAAATCAGAGTGAAAATAAGAGTCAGCCGTACCTGAACTTGGAGCCTTTCTTTCCATCAAAACTACTTTTCTCAGTCAGCGGGGTCAGGGTTCAGGAGGAGGGAGGAGGAGACCGGGGCGCAGCAGCAGGTCCGGGGACGAGGAGGAGGACAGGACTGCTGCTGCTGCTGCTGCTGCTGCTTCACGGACGGGACAAGAGGAGTCAGGGGCGGGACACCGGGGCTCCGGCACTTAGTTCCCTTTTACAGCGAGGAGAGAGAGAGAGGGAGGGACGGGAAGGGAGGGGAGGAGGGAGGAGGAAGGAGGGAGGGAGGAGGGAGGAGGGAGGAGGGAGGAGGGAGGAGGGAGGGACCGCACAGAGGGAGGAAAGCCCTGCGAGAAAAAAACTGCAACAGCCTCTAAAAAAAAAGCTGTTTTTGTTTTTTTAAATGAGGTTCTATTAACTGTATTACGGTAATCTCCTCAGAGCTGTTTCTGTAGTTTTAGATAATCATGGTATTTCTATAGTGAGACGTGTTTTTTCTGGTCAGTGTGTTTTATATATGAGTGAAGAGTGAACCTGCAGTGAGGATTTAAAGCCTGTTTAATATTTTACATGAAATCTCACTCTGAACATGTTTATGTCAAAGTGGTTCATCTGGAGGAGGACGTGAAAAAAAACACACACTGACATTTCAGTCTGACTGACGACAACCAGCCTGTGACGCTGTAGAGATGGAGGGGTGAGATGATCATGATCGAGTCTCTGCAGATATTTCAGGATGTTCTTCATCCCTGTAAACTGAACTGTCATCATACAGCAGGACAACAAAAACAGGGTCTCCTATGGTCAACTTACCCCGGGTACATGTTCACGTTAAACAAGGTCAACGATGTGATGAAACGCCCTGGACTAGAGGAGCGCTCGACTCAGAGGAGAACAGATAAAACACACAAGAAGTTCTGAGAGGAAGACAATAAAACAACGACACAAACAAATATATTTATTAAAGGAGGAATAAAAGTAAGAGAGACAAACTGAGATATTTACCAAGTGAAGAAGTGATGCAGAAGGTGCTGAGTGTGACTGGATGAAATGGAGGAGAAGTCGGTGGATAAATGGAGGGATGAGAATGATCACATTTCACATGATAAATAATGATGTTGTTGTATTTCAGTCACGTAACAGTCACTTCTTCATATTCATTCAAACTGAAGGAACGTTGTATTTCTGTAAAAATAACAATCTGAACAAAGACGTCAAAGAATCCAAGTCAAACATTTAAAGGGGGCAGATTAATAAGATTAGTCCTCTTTCTGCTCCTTTTCATTCAAGACAGGAGAACGTTTGTATTTAAATTAATTTAAATACAATTATTTAAAATACTCTATTCAACTGGTACAATCATTCTTTTTATTATTATTTCATATAACTGCTAAAAAAACAACATCAGAAGATGAGAACGTCTGTAAGAGAAGATCCACAGATCTGTAAACTCTGATCCTTCTTTACTGTCTCTGTTCCCCCTGAACTACGATGAAGACTTTATTAGTCCTCCAGGATTAAATGGTGGACTTTAATATTTCTGACCTCATGTTGGAGCTCACAGAAACCACAGCTGATGATAAAACTCATTTAAGATCTTTATTTCTAATCAAACTGACGACTAAAGACTAAATTCACTTTAAATCTCGAACCTCTTCTTCACCCATGAGCTTCAAACCTTCACTGACTCCATGAACTGACGACCATCTCCGTAAGATTTGGTCACATGATCAATTTCTTTGACCATTTACAAGAAACAGGGGAGGGGGCTCAACGTACCCCGGTCTCCCCTACTTGGCAGCTGGAGGTCCAACACACCTTCATGGAGGACGTTTAAAAACGTCTCCTTCAGTTTATGACTAAAACCTCTCGGTGTCTGAGCGTCCTCTGGACTCAGGCTCTGATCTGAGGTGGGTCCTGGTCCTCAGAGGAAGACCTGCAGACCTGCTCTGTTCATCTTTACTTCGGCAGAAACGAGTGAGTGAATAAATCAATGAAAGGAAGTTGGTCCCCCCTGAGTCTGCTCTGAGTTATGAGACACTGTGAGAACGAGGAGTTTTTCTGATGTTGACAGCAGATGTTACCTGTACAGGTGATGAAGATGAGCTCAGATCTTCTGTCTCTTCTTCTTCACATCTCACACTCACTGTCAGAGTCTTACCAAAGGACACGCTGAACCTCAGCCCTCCAGCTAAGAGACAAAACAAGATATTCCTTCATTAACGTCCGTTTTAATTACAGCAGCACATAAATAAAGAAATGAAAGAGTTAAAAAGATGATATTGATATTTACAGACACTGAACGACTCCCTGCTGAGACACAGACCCTCCACAGACAATAAAAACAGGTTTATCATGAGGTCAGGGGTCAACGGAGGAGAAGGACTCAAAAATAAAAAAAGGAGATTAAAAAGAAATAAAAGAAAAAAAAATAAAAACTTTAAAATGTCCAAATAAAAAAAATCACTGAAGAAAAAAAAAAAAAAGTAAAGTGACAAAAACACAAAAACACAAAAACACAAACAGACAAACAACGAACCAACAAGAACAGACACAGGTGAGACTGATGAGAGATAAACAACTCCTACAAAATAAAACAGGAAATGAAGAATCAACTCCTACAAAATAAAACAGGAAATAAACAAAGAATCAACTCCTCCAAAATAAAACAGGAAATAAACAAAGAATCAACTCCTCCAAAATAAAACAGGAAATAAAGAATCAACTCCTACAAAATAAAACAGGAAATAAAGAATCAACTCCTACAAAATAAAACAGGAAATAAACAAAGAATTAACTCCTACAAAATAAAACAGGAAATAAACAAAGAATCAACTCCTCCAAAATTAAATAGGAAATAAACAAAGAATTAACTCCTACAAAATAAATCAGGAAATAAAGAATCAACTCCTACAAAATAAAACAGGAAATGAAGAATCAACTCCTACAAAATAAAACAGGAAATGAAGAATCAACTCCTACAAAATAAAACAGGAAATAAAGAATCAACTCCTACAAAATAAAACAGGAAATAAACAAAGAATCAACTCCTACAAAGTAAAACAGGAAATAAACAAAGAATCAACTCCTACAAAATAAAACAGGAAACAAACAGAAAACAGGAGGTAAACGGTCAAACTGAACCTGACAGACTGAACTTCAGGGAAAATAAACTCAGATAATAAAACCGGTAAAAATAATCAGATCATTTAATGACTCAGGAACATGTTTCTGTCTTTAATCTTGTTCAGATATTTTCACTGTTGATCTGAAAAATCTGAACTTTTGTTTTGAAGGTGAAAATAATGAAGGGGATAAATGTTGTGAGAAACTTTGTGGTTTGTTCTTCCTCTTCGATGATCGTTAAACCTCTTCTTCTTCACGCTGAGAGCGGATGAACCACAGACTGACTTTGTCTCCAGCTGATCCACCTCCTCATACTGGTTCAGTCTGTCTTTAAACCAGTTCAGATACTGGTCTGCACAATCACCCCCATCAGGCTGTGATGGGATTCACCTGTGTGTGGGTCTATTAGTGGAACAGGTGAGTCCCTGATCCTGCCCAGAGGTTCAACACAAACTCCAGTCAAAGTGCAGAAGAAGAAGAAGGACTCCACTGTCTCCACCTTCAGCATGTTCTCTGGATCAGGGTTTGTGTTTCAGGTTTTTATAAACTTCTGTTTCCTGCTGCTCTTCTTCCTTCTCAGATGTTCGGTCTCTTCCAGGTGGATCTTCTTCCTCCTCCTCCTCGTCTTTGGAGCTGCAGAAGCTCAACACAAACCGCCTATCAGTGAGTTTCTCAGACGTGGTTTGGAGGTCACAGAGTTACCTGATGAACTTTGGCTGCAGACTAACGTGGACTTTCCCCTCAGGTGTCCACTCTCAGTGTCTGGGGAGTGTCCTGCGTGTGGACGTCGGTCCACTCGGAGGACATCAGCTGGAAGTTTCTGCTGTGATCAGTAAGAAAACTCTTCTGAGTGTTTCAGCTCTTTGTCTCGGCTCTCCTCTCTAACTGCTCCTCCTTCTCCTGCTCCTCCTGCTCCTCCTCAGATGGCTCGGCCGTCCCTCTGACCCCGGCTTTGGCCTCTCAGTGCGGCTTCAGTCTGAAGAGGAACCAGCTGGGGAGGGCTCAGATTTACGCCTCCCTTCAAAACTGTTTCGCTGCAAATGAGGTAAAAAAAGTGGATGATTTTCCACATGAGCGTCTGTCTCTGCTGAGCGTTTCTGAGTCTCATTTTCATTCGTCTGTAGAACGATAAAACCTTCACCACCACATTAAACCTCCGCCTGTACGGGAACCGGATGGGTGACGACCAGCTGTACCAGGTGGCAGAAACCTGCCGTTACACTTCCTGGGCCTCCAGGGAAATCATCTGTTCCAGCAACTATATGGAGGCGAGTGACGGCGGCGGGACGCTCAGGGGTCACGATCAGGGGTCACGATCAGGGGGTCGTGTTTAGTCTGTGATGCAGTCTGCGCTGAGTGTGGATGAATGAAATGGAGGATGAGTCGGTGGATAAATGAGGGATGTTCATGTTGTATTTCACATCACAGTTTAGTGGGTTGTTGCACAGAGTGTTGTCTGTTGGTTCTGTCAGGAGTTGAGTTCGTGAAGTGTTCGTTGGTAGGTCGGTGGTTTCATTATCAGTTATCTCTGATGGCTTCACTTCCAGGTGTCGGTGGAAAGAGCAGCTCCAGACGACTACGTCCTTCCTGAACATCCGACCACAGGAGCTAATCCAGCGTCAGGAGATCCTCGGCGGGACGCAGAGGTTTTTAAAGCTCATTTAATCCTTTTTTTAATGTTCCTAAAACCTTCTTTCTTTAACTTCTGGGTTTGGTTCTGTCCCCACAGAAACCCCTCATAGACCCAGGATTCAGGATCACCACGCTGGTCTTCTACACTCCTGAAGAAAGGATCATGCCGGTGGCTGAGGCCCAGAGGAACGGTTACGGGATCGCAAACACGGCCACGCGGCTGTTCCTGAGAAGTCCGAAGGTTTCCCAGGAAACGTACACGGAGAGTGTGAGTGGGCCGAGTCCCCGACCAGAACCCTCAGAGAATCACTCAGTCCATTCGATCTGCTGCAGCCGACCATAAGAGGAAGATCTAATAATGTCATCAAAGTGAACCGGATCCTTCTGTGTCTGCACACAGACCGAGGGAGAGGAGGGAGAGAGGGAGGAGGAGGAGGAGGAGGAGGAGGAGGAGGTCGCTCTCACTCATGTTGTTGTTGTTGTTGTGGAGTTAAATGTTGAATGTTCATGTGTCATATTACAGAAGTTCTCCCCCCTCCTCCTCCTCCTCCTCCTCCATGACTCCTTCAGTCACACGGACCAATCAAACTCCTCTAACCTCCTGATTTGATGTTTTCACGCCGCAGGTCTCAGGAGTTCCCATGAGCGTGCTCAAAACCTCCACCGTCTTCGAGAAGAAGTGGATGGCGACTCAGATAGACGCGGCGGTGGCCTGTCCTGATGTTGACGGTGAGTTCTAGAGAAGATCCCGGTTCTCTCTCGTCTCCATCTTTGTGTGAGGTTTTTTTTTCTGCTGAGGAGGTCCTGGACTCTTCTGAACCTTCTCATCTCCACAGGAAGTGTCTCTCTGACTGAAGACACCATCAGCTGGTTCCTCCCCGGACACATCGACCCCCTGCTGTCCTCCGGTCAGTTCTACCTGTTGGAGGTCCACATGGGGGTGGACGGTCAGAGGCTGGACCCCACTGAGATGGCCGCCAGAGGTTATTCCCTGTCGGTCAACGACATGCACATCGTCGTGGAGATTCCAGTTGGAGCTGCTGGAGGTCATTTCAAAGTGAGATTTTAAGGTTTTAAAGTTCCTACAAAGTCCAGACTGAAGGGTTCGGCAAAACACGATAAATAACGATTAAATATTTAGATCGGACCGATCCGAGAAAGGCAGGATTCAAACTAACGTGAGGGACTTTAACGTAGTAAGAACCTGAGGAAAAATCTGTGAGTTTTGCTGAGTCATGGTCAGGACGGTCTCTTGTGTTTTTGTAGAGTCATGTTTAGGATGGTCTACATTCGTTTTTTGGAGAGTCATGTTAAGGTCCGTCTAATTTTTTTGCAGAGTCGTGGTCTGTATTTATATTTTGCTGAGTCATGCTAAAGACGGTCTATATTAATTTTTGCAGAGTCATGTTAAAGACGTCTCCTTTTTATTTCATTGCTGAGTCATGTTCAGGAAGTCTGTCTTGTCATTTGTTGCTGAGTCATGTTCAGGAAGTCTGTATTTATTTTTGCTGAGTCATGTTTCAGGACGGTCTGTCTTGTCATTTGTTGCTGAGTCATGTTAAAGACGGTCTCTTGTTTTTTGCAGAGTCATGTTCAGGACGGTCAGTACCTCAGGTCTTACTCCATCGAGCCGATGCTGGAGGTCCTCTGGGTTGAAGACTCGACCCACGAGGACACACGGTACCGGGTCCTCCTCCCAATCACGACCCCGCCCATGTCTCAGTCGGTTCAGGTTCTGGACAGTAAGTCTTCTCCTGGTTCTGGTCCGGTTTGTGAGTCCCAGAGACCCTCTGCTGCTTTAACGTCTTCGATGTTTCTGCTCCTCAGACACGGTCCCTGAGGAGCGGATCTTCAAAGTGCTGCTCGGGCCCCTGGGCTCGGATGTGGTTCTGATGAATGTGAGCTTCTCCTCGGAGGTTCTGAGCGTGTCGGAGTGTAACCTCCGGGGTTTTAACGTCATGGAGCACGTGTCCCCGAACAGCAGCTCCAAGGTCTTCACGCTGGAGGTGCCCTTCACGGACCCGGTGGTTCTGCAGACGGTAAAGTTCTTGGTTCTTCTCTGCAGAGACGGACTCGGACTCGGTCCTCCTCTGACTGGACTCTGATTGTCTCCTCAGGGACAAACCGGGACGACCGTCTTCTCTCTCCACGTGACCTTTGGCCTCCTGGTCCTGCCCGAGTTCGCTCCGTTTTCTCTCTCTGCGTACCTGGAGGAGACCTTAGTGGACATCGGTGAGGACCGATCAGATTTAGAGGAGCTGATTGAGAACTGATCAGGATGATTGATCACCTCAGATGTCTGATTTCTTCTCAGTGTCTCACCCTAAAATCTGCGTAATAACCCTTTTTTAGTCCCTCCCTCCGTCTCCGGCGGCTGCGATGAGGAAAACTTCTACATCCTGGTGAAACACGGGAGTCCAGGGTTCGAGTTCCAGACTTTGGTGGGGACTCGGATCCTGACCCCTCAGCTGGCACAGCAGTACGGCTTCATGGACAACGGGACCCACTTCAGTTTTGAGGTTCCGATTACGGCCCCTGAAGTCCAGTTTGAGGTACGCTCAGAGTCTGAGAGAAGAACCGTCCTGGAGGTTCTTGTCTTCTGTTTTTGACCCTCCTTCTGGTCTCTGAAATCCTCTCAGGCGGTCCAGTCTTCGACCATCAGGAGCAGGATCGACGTGGTTCTGAGGAACCAAGAAACCAGCAGAAGAATCCAGGACTTCTCGTTGGCCTGTGACTTCGTGACGACGCTGACGGGTTCGTTTTCACGAGTTTTTTTAACTTTTATCGACTAAAAAAACGATCGGTCCAAACTCAGGTCCGGTTCTGGTCTTTCAGAGTGCTTTCCCAACGGGACCATGACGGCCTGGGCGGTAAAACTGGAGTCTGTTCCCAGTCTAAACCTGGCCCAGCTCACACTCAGAGACCCCACCTGTGGCCCCGCCTACAGCGACGACCGCTACGCTTACTTTGTCTTCACTGCGAACTCGTGTGGGACGACCAGGAAGGTAGATCTGGTCCTGAGAACCTCAGAGGTCTCAGATGTTGGTCTGAAAGAACGCTGAGTTAACAAAAACCCGGTTCTGGTGTCTGGTTCTCAGTTCCTGCCCAACATGATGCTCTACGAGAACGAGATCTCTCTGCCCGACGAGCTGGAGATGAGGAGAACTTCACGGAGGGAGGAGCCCGAGTACGAGTGAGTCAGGATCCACCTGCAGAAGGTTTGAAGGTTCAGTCACTGGTCCAGTTTCAGAGACGACCTCGGTTTAGAGACGTAGGCGGGTGCAGTTATAAAAAAACACAAAACGGACAAAAAACCAGCTGAGGAACTTTGAGGATTTTTCAGGGTCACGTCATTTTTGTATCTGACTAACATGAGGGTCCAGTGAGACGTTTGACAGTCCACCAGGTTCTTCTGGAGGTTTGGGTCCACCTGGACGTGAGTTTGAGTAAAACCTGGTTCTGGGTCTCTGTCTCTCTCTCTCTCCCTCCGTCTTCTTTCAGGTTGAAAGTTTCCTGTTACTACGACATCAACAAAACGCACGCCGTGGCCTTCCGCGCCAGACCTCGCAGAAGTCAACCACACGCTGAAGACGCCAAAGGAGCGCTGCAGGTGGAGATGAGACTCGCTCTGGGTAAGAGGAACCATCTGTGTGGACTTTAAAGCTCCTGTGGAGTCCATCAAAGACCACAGGGGGCGCCAAAACTTTGGTGACAGTAGGAAAACTCGGCTCGGAGTCTGGGGTGATCCAGGTCTTGTGGATCCTCTTTTTTTTTCAGATAAGTCCTACAGAGAGTTTTATGGGGGTCAGGGCTATCCTGTGTCCAAGTACCTTCAGCAGCCGCTCTTCTTCGAGGTGGAGCTGATGAAGTCCAGGGACCCCAAGATCTCAGTGGAGCTGGAGAACTGCTGGGCGACCCTCGATGAAGACCGGACATCCCGACCCAGATGGGACCTCATCATCAACGGGTAACTGAACGGGTCTGAATCCAGTCCTGCATGTAGAGAAAGGAAAAACCACATTAGGGTCAGAACTGTTCAGAGTCCAGACCTGGTCCTGGTCCTGAAGACCTAAAACGGTCCTCCAGCTCAAGGATCAGATCTTAAATCTGAACCCTTTCCTTTCAGCTGTGTAAACCCGGTTGATCCATATCAGCTGATCCTCCATCCGGTCTGGCCCGGTGGCAGAGTCCAGTACCCCCCTCATTTCAAGCGCTTTGAGGTCCAGATGTTTGCCTTCTCTGAGGACCAGGAGAACCTGAGTCGACAGGTAGATGTTGTAGTTTTTTAAAGGTGTGGGTCTAAAACTGAACCCTCATCTGTCTCTCTGACCCTCTCAGGTGTTTGTCCACTGTGACGTGGTGATCTGTGACCCCCAAAACCCCCAGGGTGGGGTGTGTAGTGGACCGTGTCCAAACCAGGAGAACAAGAGAAAAAGTAGGAGATCCTGGTTTTGGTGGTTTTAGGGGAAAGATCTGAAAAGGGTCTGACTGTGTTTCTTCTCTTCCAACAGGTCTGAGACGAGCAGCTGATGGTGGTTCTGACTCCAACCATGTGTCCTCAGGACCCATAATCCTCCACTAAACCCTGAACCTGAAGATGGTTTTAATAAAGTTCATGACACTCACCTGAGGAGCACGTCTGGTTCTTTTCTCCTGATGAACATCAGAGCAGAAATCTGAAGATCTGTGATGAGAGGACAGGATCAGGTCTGAGGGTCTGTGTGAGGGATCAGGTCTGAGGGACTATGTGAGGGATCAGGTCTGAGGGTCTGTGTGAGGGATCAGGTCTGAGGGACTATGTGAGGGATCAGGTCTGAGGGTCTGTGTGAGGGATCAGGTCTGAGGGTCTATGAAAGATCAGGTCTGAGGGTCTGTGTGAGGGATCAGGTCTGAGGGTCTATGAAGGATCAGGTCTGAGGGTCTGTGTGAGGGATCAGGTCTGAGGGTCTGTGTGAGGGATCAGGTCTGAGGGTCTATGAAGGATCAGGTCTGAGGGTCTGTGTGAGGGATCAGGTCTGAGGGTCTGTGTGAGGGATCAGGTCTGAGGGTCTGTGTGAGGGATCAGGTCTGAGGGTCTGTGTGAGGGATCAGGTCTGAGGGTCTATGTGAGGGATCAGGTCTGAGGGTCTATGTGAAGTGCTTTTATTAAAGGTGCTGTAGTCAGGACTCCGTTAAAGAAACATCTTTATTTTGGTGTATTTATAAAAATCTTCTAATATCAGTCAATAGTTATTAGTTATTGATTATTTGGTAATATATCGATATCTCTGTGTTCTCTTCTGTCTGTGTCGTCAACATTTGAACATTTTTGAGCGGTCCGCTCTTTCTGACTGTAAACAAAGCCGTTCTCCACCTCCTCTAACCTGATTGGTTGTGAGGCAGACATTATTATGGGACAGACTTATTATTATTATTATTAGGCATTATTATGACCTTGTTCGGTTATTCCTTGGCAAATACATCATTTCCCGACGACATTCTTTCATGTACAATGATAATTTCAGAAACCATCAGATTTTCAACCACAAGTAAGAATTAGTAAAGCTCACATACATTGTCAACTGGAAACTCCCCCGTTTGTATATTCTGAACCATGTGCTCTCTACCAATAATAATTTTTATTAATCAGAGGTCTGTGCTTAATATGAGCGACCACTTTGATGATGCATTCAGAGATGAGAAGATGCTCAAACTGGATGTAATAAATACATCTTTAATAGACACTTAAATAAATAAAGTCAATTCATACGAATAGTTAAAAACATGACCTATAAACCTAATTTAAAATACAAATAAATCTGGTAAAAAGATCAAAATATGATAAAATGATAAAAATTGTGTAATGTATACTGACTAAATATTGTTTATCTATTTATATATATATATATAATTATTATTGCAATCACATGCCATCTATTTCTTTTCAGCCTCGGGAAGGAGGGCCATATTACCAGCTGAGGTGCGCAATGCATTGTGGGGCAGAAGCAGTACGTGAAGCCATAGACATAATAAAAAGGTAGACCCCGCTGGGGGTGCTGCGCAGCGAGAAATGCGGCCGCCATCTTGGTTAGGTCAAGCTTCCCATACGCTCCGGTCAATCATATTCATTCATTCAGCGATGCCGGAGCACTGTGCGGCGTATTCCTGTGCCAACAGGCGGACAGCAGAGAACAGGGCTCAAGGAATAACTTCTCACAGTTATGATTAAACGTTTTTTAAACATTACACTTGACTGTAGAGTCATTTGTAGGCCAAAGAGGAAGACTATCGGTCAACTCCAAAAAGGAAACAGCATTTGCGAACAGCTAGCTTATTCACAATAGTAGCAACTTTGCTCTATTATCAACAGATTTGCAATAGATTGAAAAACTTTTGTTTGAGAGAGGTTCTAAGAAACGTTAAGAAATAAAATAGAAAGAAGAAAGTGAGCTCTGTTTTATTATCTGTTTTATTAAAGATTTCTTTGTGGTGATCTCCTGTTTCATTTTGAAGATTTCCTAAGACAAAAACTTGAGGAAGAAGTGGGAGATTGCTGTTAGAGGGAGAAATTCGCAGCAAGTGATTCCTCTGTGCTGTGTAGCCAACAAGCAAATTGATATGTAGTTTAGGTGCTGTCCTGTCATGCTGTTCTTGTGTTTAAATTTTTATTGATATGTAGGCTATATATTTGTGTGTATTTCTTTGTGTGTATTTTCCAGTTATTAAAATAGTGCTTCTGTATGACATTATTTGTGTGTGTCTACAAATGGATAAATAAAATTAAACTATATAAAAAATTATAATCAAATCAATATTGAATTGGCCTATTAAAACCGCCAGTTATTAATAATTATTGAGACATAGCAGGAACCTAGCTCTAAACCTAGATATATCCTTGATTAATTGTTATACTATAATACAGCCACTGCTGCCATGTTCTAAAATATCATTTTATTCATTCTGAGTATTTGAAAACGCCAAAAAAAAATATGGCCTCTATCATGCCTCTTTGAATGGCGTTTGCAGAGAAGAAAATTACGTAGTATTGAGCGAACTATGATTCATTTAATGCGCTCAGACTTCATTCCGCCGGTTAAACAGCAGTGCAGAGTGAGGCGGATGACCGGACCAAGATGGCGGCCGATGCGGGGTCTATCTTTTATTATGTCTATGGGCCATATTACCAGCTGAGGTGCGCAATGCATTGTGGGGCAGAAGCAGTACGTGAAGCAAGCTCCGTTGCACACTCAGAAATCGAAGCTGATTGAGTATATATCCGGGCATTTCTCGCATACACAAAATTCACATACTGTACAGTGTGAACGCACTGCCTACTCAATTCAGAGGCGGGGTTAGTAGGAGTAGTAGGAGTAGTAGGAGTAGTAGGCCATTTCGGACACAGCCACAGTCAGTCGTCGTCGACAGTGAGTGTTGAAATGGCGCAGAAAGGAGTTCATCTGGACCGTGAGTCTTTCTCTTGTTCCATCTGTTTGGATCTTCTGAAGGATCCGGTGACTGTTTCCTGTGGACACAGCTTCTGCATGAGCTGTATTCAATCCTACTGGGATACTGAGGATGAGAAGAAGATCTACAGCTGTCCTCAGTGCAGAGAGACCTTCAGACCGAGGCCTGTCCTGAAGAAAAACACCATGTTAGCAGGTTTAGTGGAGGAAGTGAAGAAGAGCGGACTCCAAGCTGCTCCTGATGGTTCCTCTGAGGCTGGACCTGAAGATGTGGTCTGTGATTTCTGCAGTGGGAGAAAACTGAAAGCTGTCAAGTCCTGTCTTCTGGAGGAGAGTCGAGAAAACATCCAGCAGAGAATCCAGGACAGAGAAGAAGATGTGAAGCTGCTCCAACAGGAGGTGGAGGCTATCAACGGCTCTGCTGATAAAGCTGTGGACCACAGCCAGGAGATCTTCAGCCAGCTGATCCGTCTGATGGAGAAACGCCGCTCTGAGGTGGAGCAGCAGGTCAGATCCCAGCAGGAACGTGAAGTGAGTCGAGTCAAAGAGCTTCAGGAGAAACTGGAGCAGGAGATCACTGAGCTGAAGAGGAAAGACGCTGATCTGCTGAAGCTCTCACTCACAGAGGACCACAACCAGTTTCTGCACAGCTACCCCTCACTGTCAGAACCGGGTCAACCTGCAGACTCATCCAGAATCAACATCCGTCCTCTGAGATACTTTGAGGAGGTGACAGCAGCTGTGTCAGAGGTCAGAGAGAAACTCCAGGATCTTCTGACAGAGACGTGGACAAACGTCTCACAGGCCGTGACTGAAGTGGATGTTTTACTGTCAGAACCAGAACCAGAACCCAAGACCAGAGCTGATTTCTTAAGATATTCACAAAGAATCACACTGGATCCAAACACAGTAAACGGAAAACTGAAATTATCTGATGGAAACAGAAGAGCAACATTTACAAAACAACTACAGTCTTATCCTGATCATCCAGACAGATTCACTGGTTGGCCTCAGGTCCTGAGTAGAGAGAGTCTGACTGGACGTTGTTACTGGGAGGTGGACTGGAGAGGGAGGGGGGTTGGTGTAGCAGTCGCATACAAGACTATCAGGAGAGACGGGAGATCAGAGGATTGTATATTTGGAGGAAATGACAAATCTTGGAGGTTAGACTGTTATAAAGACAGTTATAGATTTGTTCACAACAAAGTCTTCACTGATGTCTCAGGTCCTCCGTCCTCCAGAGTAGGAGTGTACCTGGATCACAGAGCAGGTATTCTGTCCTTCTACAGCGTCTCTGAAACCATGACTCTCCTCCACAGAGTCCAGACCACATTCACTGAACCTCTACATGCTGGACTGTGGTTATGGTCTAATGGAGCCTCTGCTGAGTTTATAGAAGTGAACTAAAGAGAATTTTGAGTCCATCAGACCAAAATCATGGACTGTGTCCGAAATGGCATACTGCCTACTATCTACTTACCTACTCAAGCAGTAGCTACTGCCTACTGACTACTCAAAGATGATTTGAGTATGCCGCGGCTGCCCGAGCGTTTACAAACAGATGCATACTAAATACCCCAGAATGCATTTCGTGCCGGCCGGACGCAGCGCCGGGAAAATTTAAATAGTCCTACCACAAGCTACACAGAACGACTGCATACCGGACAAATTATATAAATTCATTCAATAATAATATTTTTTCTAGCGAGAAAGTAAGTGTTTACATCACGATTATGAGCCCAGTTGTTTGAAATAGTGGCTGTTTGTAAATTTGTCTCGGCGTTTTCGGAGACCGAAGCGTCCGCTTGGTGGGTGTTTGCGTCTATTTACCGTAAACACCGGGCAGCAGCAGCTCCCCCTTCACGTTTCCAAATTATTGAGAAGTGTTTTCATAATCAACATCTACACGACACAAACCGGGCGGCAGTGGATGAAAAAAATCACACAAACATCTGTGTATCCATGGTGATAATGCTATACACCACCTGCTAGGCGTGTGATGAGCAGCAGAGGGCTGCAAAATGACCAACACACAACATAATTATTATGAACTCGTTCGGTTATTCCTTGGCAAATACATCATTTCCCGACGACATTCTTTTCATGTACAATGATAATTTCAGAAACCATCAGATTTTCAACCACAAGTAAGAATTAGTAAAGCTCACATAGATTGTCAACTGGAAACTCCCCCGTTTGTATATTCTGAACCATGTGCTCTCTACCAAAGATACTTTTTATTAATCAGAGGTCTGTGCTTAATATGAGCGACCACTTTGATGATGCATTCAGAGATGAGAAGATGCTCAAACTTGATGTAATAAATACATCTTTAGTAGACACTTAAATAAATAAAGTCAATTCATACGAAGAGTTAAAAACATTACCTATAATCCTAATTTAAAATACAAATAAATCTGGTAAAAAGATCAAAATATGATAAAATGATGAAAACTGTGTAATGTATACTGACTAAATATTGTTTATCTATTTATATATATATAATTATTATTGCAATCACATGCCATCTATTTCTTTTCAGCCTCGGGAAGGAGGGCCATATTACCAGCTGAGGTGCGCAATGCATTGTGGGGCAGAAGCAGTACGTGAAGCAAGCTCCGTTCCACACTCAGAAATCGAAGCCGATTGAGTATACATCCGGGCATTTCTCGCATACACAAAATTCGCATACTGTACAGTGTGAACGCACTGTCTACTCAATTCAGAGGCGGGGTTAGTAGGAGTAGTAGGAGTAGTAGGAGTAGTAGGCCTTTTCGGACACAGCCATGGACTGAGATCCTTGAACTCTTGAAATGTTCTGGTTTGTAAATGTTTGTGGATCAGTCTCACCAAAAACTCTGGGTTTAGTTCTTCATTTCAGCTTTTTGATTCTTTTCTAAAGATGCTGATTTGGTCGCAGCTTTAAGGACAGTGATTGTGGAGAACTTTGATTGTTTGTATTTCTCATGTTGAAAAATCTTCATACAGTTTGATATCAACAACATCAAGATGATGGTTTGTTCAAATCACCTTCAGTTGGTGCAGATGTTGAAGGTCTGAGACTTTAGAAAAAAGTGAGGTCAAAATCACAGAAAAAGGACGACCTTATTTCCTGTCCCAAATCCAAGCGTCTAAAGTCTTTCCAGTCGTCCCCAAAAACTCTTCAGATGATCTGTTTCTTTCTCTGTTTGCTGAATATTTGTGTTCATGTGATCGATGGATATTTCTGTCTGCTTCTGTTGGATCAGTGTGTTTGTAAAGACATCTAGAATCAGACTTTGGACAGATCAACATGTTGTTATGAGCTTTTCAATCACTCTAATAATAATAATCACATTTATTAGTCCGACTGTTTGGATGTTTCTGACTCAGCTCAGATTGTGGTCAAGTCTCTGATTGTGGGTAAAAAAATCATAAAAATCCTCAAACTGAGTCACTGAAATCACCTCGTCTGTTTGTCTTTATTGTGTCCGTTTCTGCTGGATGTCATGTTACCGCTCCGTCTGGGTCATGGATCCATGTGGTCTTACATGTCCCAGATGTGAGTCCTGCAGCTGGATCAGGTTTTCTGTAGAGGACAAAGACAGGAGGCAGGTTGTGTGTCTTTTTGATTTGATGTAACCAGACTAGTCCTGTTGAGATCATCAGTCTCTTTTTCAGGGGGGGTCCTGACCAAGAATGGCAGCAAAAAACAAACACACTCAGACTCACACAGATCCACATCAGCAACAAGAACTCAGAGTTCATATGAGAGAGTCCAGCTGATCTCTAGTCTGAGGAAAGAAGTCTGGTCCACAAGAAGAAAACCGATTTAAAGGTGAAGTAGACAGGAATCTGTTAAAGAAGCATCTTTTTATTTTGTGGTTTTAATACAAAAATCTTCTAATATCAGTCAATAGTTATTAGTTATTGATTATTTGGTAATATATCGATATCTCTCTGTTCTCTTATGTCTGTGTCGTCAACATTTGAACATTTTTGAGCGGTCCGCTCTTTCTGACTGTAAACAAAGACGTTCTCCACCTCCTCTAACCTGATTGGTTGTGAGGCAGACGCTGCTCCCCCGTGTCGTTCAGGAGCCCAAACAAAGTTAGCGTGCTGTTCGATGTTACAGCAGCATTTAACGTCATTGACCACGAGCTCCTCCTTAAAAAGACGTATAAACCTGCAGTGGTCATGATGGAAAGTTATTGATCCCAGATTATTCTGATAGAATTTTCTTCATCTTTACAAATGATCTCCCTCTAAACTAACAATGTTTGCAGACGACACTCTAGTGTCTGAATCAGCAAAAAGACCTGCTGATCTAAAGGTCATCTGAAATAAGGAACAAACACAGGTGAGAAGAGGATCTGGTACTGAACACAGCTCCAACAGAACTCATTATATTCAGTTTAAACTACTTTTTAAAGAAACAGTCAGAACTGAACCGCCTTAGAAACTAAAAAACACCCAAAACAGGAGCAAACTGAGCTCCTGGGTCTCCTCATGGAGAATCAGCTCTGAGGTCCAAACACTTAAAAACACTTTATTATAACACGGGTCAGTCTCTGGGAAAGGTGAGGAGATGGAGGAAACACCTCACAGCTAAGACAGTAAAAAACTCCAGCTGGTTCTGACCCGGTCAGCACGCCTGGTTCTGTAGAGTCCAAACAACAACAACAGTACTAACAACAAGAACTCCTGTCTACAGTGGATGAAGGTCGAGTCCAGAATCAACGCTGCACTAATATAATATATGGAAAATAGGACGGTCCCAAAACTCCATCAAACCCGATCAGGATTCAGAGACATATAAACACCAGACAGGAAACACGAGAGCGCCTCCAGCTTCACTAACCAAACACCGACTTCATGAAGTAGAATAAAGAGAACGGTCAAAAACCAAACTGACACAGAAAACAGCATTTAAAATATATCACACAGAACACACAATCATACGAACACACACAAACACAGAAACACACATGTAGGCCGGTGGGTTTTCTGGTTATTTTGATTGATTTTCTTTTATAATCATTGGGTATCAGAGTGTCTGATTAATGTCCCATAATCTAGATTATGACCTTAATGTTTGGTTCTAATCTAATCTCAGTTCCTGTCCATTTTTACATGTTGTGATCATAAATGTATTAATTTTAAAAAAGGATCCAGGAAGACTGACGGTGCTCCAGAGAGCAGCTAACAGGGATGCTAACAAACAAATAAACTTTAAACATATTTACAATAAACAACAAACAAAACCAGGGCTCGACAGTACGACCGTTTCACTCATATATGCGACTAAAAATACATGTGTGTGAATTTTTAAAATGTATTTAGGGTCACATGTGGGAATAAAAAAATATCAACAAATGTTCTTTTTTACCTGTAAATACGGCGGTGAAGTTAGTTTTAGGTTGGATATATTTTCCTGTAAATACGGCGGTGAAGTTAGTTTCAGGTTGGATATATTTTCCTGTAAATACGGCGGTGAAGTTAGTTTCAGGTTGGATATATTTCCCTGTAAATACGGCGGTGAAGTTAGTTTCAGGTTGGATATATTTCCCTGTAAATACGGCGGTGAAGTTAGTTTTAGGTTGGATATATTTCCCTGTAAATACAGCGGTGAAGTTAGTTTCAGGTTGGATATATTTTCCTGTAAATACAGCGGTGAAGTTAGTTTCAGGTTGGATATATTCTCCTGTAAATACGGCGGTGAAGTTAGTTTTAGGTTGGATATATTTTCCTGTAAATACGGCAGTGAAGTTAGTTTCAGGTTGGATATATTTTCCTGTAAATACGGCGGTGAAGTTAGTTTTAGGTTGGATATATTTCCCTGTAAATACGGCGGTGAAGTTAGTTTCAGGTTGGATATATTTTCCTGTAAATACGGCGGTGAAGTTAGTTTTAGGTTGGATATATTTTCCTGTAAATACGTTGGTGAAGTTAGTTTTCAGGTTGGATATATTCTCCTGTAAATACAGCGGTGAAGTTAGTTTCAGGTTGGATATATTTTCCTGTAAATACGGCGGTGAAGTTAGTTTCAGGTTGGATATATTCTCCTGTAAATACGGCGGTGAAGTTACTTTTAGGTTGGATATATTTTCCTCTAAATACGTCTGTGAAGTTAGTTTCAGGTTGGATATATTTTCCTGTAAATACGGCGGTGAAGTTAGTTTTAGGTTGGATATATTTTCCTCTAAATACGTTGGTGAAGTTAGTTTCAGGTTGGATATATTTTCCTGTAAATACGGCGGTGAAGTTAGTTTTAGGTTGGATATATTTTCCTGTAAATACGGCGGTGAAGTTAGTTTCAGGTTGGATATATTTTCCTGTAAATACGGCGGTGAAGTTAGTTTCAGGTTGGATATATTTTCCTGTAAATACGGCGGTGAAGTTAGTTTCAGGTTGGATATATTTTCCTGTAAATACGGCGGTGAAGTTAGTTTTAGGTTGGATATATTTTCCTGTAAATACGGCGGTGAAGTTAGTTTCAGGTTGGATATATTTTCCTGTAAATACGGCGGTGAAGTTAGTTTCAGGTTGGATATATTTTCCTGTAAATACGGCGGTGAAGTTAGTTTCAGGTTGGATATATTTTCCTGTAAATACGGCGGTGAAGTTAGTTTTAGGTTGGATATATTTTCCTGTAAATACGGCGGTGAAGTTAGTTTTAGGTTGGATATATTTTCCTGTAAATACAGCGGTGAAGTTAGTTTCAGGTTGGATATCTGACGGACATTCTCTGAGGATCTACCGGTGTCTTCTCTCTCTCCATAACCGGGAATAACAACAGCAGCGCGGTTAAATCTACTCGACACCCTCACTGTCAACGTCGGTGTTGAATAAGGGACCGTCAATAAATTACCGGTTGATGTTCTCAGAAAAGGCTGTTTTCCTTCAATAGCTTCACTGTCATGTCAACTCAGGAGAACATGTGAACAAAGTTAGAGTCAAACCCTGAAAACACAGACACTGATGTCCTGATACGGCTGAGAGAAAATATAATAAACTGAGGAAAACCTAAACGAGTCAAACCGAACAGGATAGTCGACTCTGACCCCTGACCTTCTGACCCCTGACCTTCTAAGTCCATATTCACCTGTGTGTGTTTTTGTTCTTCTCCCTCACCGACCCTAAAACTCTTAAAACCAGTTTTAGTAGACTGACTTTGTAAAAACAAAAAACCACAGAGAGACAAAAAGGGAAAAAGTTGCAGCTGTTTATTCGTCAGCGTTTTGGGTCGAACAGAAGGACGGGTCCAGAGGAGAGACGTCTCTGCCGAGTGGATCCTGGACTTCTTCGATCTGAAACAAAAAGGATCGACACGTTCAGCTGTAGAACCGGACCTCATCGGTCTGGATCCGTCTGGACTCTCACCTCGTTTTAGTCCTTTTGGGACTCCGTGTCCGGGGTGGGAGGAGGAGTCTGTGGTTTGCAGACACTGTCCTCTGCAGACGGCGTCCGCTCGGCTGTCGCAGATGACGGCGTCACAGTGGACGTAGATCTGTGGACAGACGGTTTCATCATGAGGTCAGAGGTCAAACTTCAGCTTCTGACTGTGCGTCCATGTTTACCTGGTCTTTGAGGACCTCCTCGTCTCTGGTGAAGGTGAACATCTTTATGGAGAAGCGTTTGACGTGGGACGGCACTGGAACTCGGGCGTCGCTCTCTACGGCGTGGAAGAGGGTCACGTATCCGTCGTCGAGGTTCTCACAGCTGGAGAAGAAACGGTCAAAACAAGCGTTGGCGTTAAAGCGGCGCCGACGTTTATGAGGCGAACAGAAAGTCAACACTGACCCAGAACTTCAGAATTTAAAAATATCATCCATCGGTCTGGAGGTCTGGAACCCTCTCCTCTCAGACCGGTCCAGAACGCTCAGCTTTAACTTTAACGGGTTTTAGTCTGAGACGGCGTCACATCACGCCAGTTTTAGCCTCCCATGGATCACCTGTCCACAATGATGTCCCAGCGGGGCTCAGAGGTCCGGTCCTCCTGCAGCGTGGCCCAGCAGTTCTCCAGGATCAGCTCCAACTGAGGATCATCAGACCTCATCAGCTCCACCTCGAAGTACAGGGGCTCCCTCAGGACCCGGACCACCGGGAACTCCTCAGGTTGGTAGAAGGTCTGATAGGACGGATCTGGAGAGGACAGGATTAGAGGGGGAAGCCTGACCCTGGACTCTGACTGTAAGGAAGTCCACGTTACCGTGAGAGAGCCTCATCTGGACCATCAGCTGTCCTGATCCGGTCTCTGCGGCGGGCTCGCTGATCCTGGGTCTGTACCTGAACGTGGCGCTCAGAGCCTCGTTGACCACGTAGTAACAGGAGACGGTCTGTCTGGAAAACAAGACCAGAACGGTTCACCTGAAGGTTCCCGATCCTAAACCAGGACCTTTAGAGCCTGCTGACCTGTACTCCGGGTCTGTGGGGTGGCTGAGGGGCGCCCCCTTGCTGTGGACCTGCTTGTTGTGGTTCAGGCTGATCTGGTTCTCATACAGCATGTAGTTCTCGAAGAACTAGAAGAAACAGATCCGATCAGAAGGTTCTGGTAGACCTCAGACCTTCAACCTCTGGATAGAACCGGGTTTACCGTTCTGGTGGTTCCACAGGAGTCCACGCCGAAGGAGAAATGAGCGAAACGATCGTCGCTGAACCACGGACTGCAGGACGGGTCCCTCAGAGTCAGCTGAGCCGGGACCAGGTGGGGCACCGACTCCACCTTCACGGCCAGAGCGCTCATGGTTCCGTTAGGGAAACACGCTGGGAGGGAGGAAGGAAGGAAGGAAGGAAGGAAGGAAGGAAGGAGAGAAAGAGAATAAAGAAAAGGAAAAAAAAAAAGTTTTGGATTTATTCAAGATGGGAGAAGATGTTTGAATGACCTTTAACGTGCAGATGTTCAATAATCATTTCTGATCAATAATCATTTCTGATCAATAATGATCATTGATCGTCTCTGAGGTCCTTCGACCCTCCGAACAGCAGAACCGCTGACTCAGCAGCTCCTCACCTGTGGTGGTCATGGGGAAGCTGCAGGTCAGGTGAAGGTCGGCCAGAGCCCAGTTGTTGTCGGGATGGTAGAGCAGCAGGTCCAGTCGGGCTCTGACCGAGTCTGACGTCAGCAGCTGAAAGACAAAGAGCCGTTAACCACGGCGGGCAGGAGGGAGGGCGGCGGATTAGTGCCGACGTGTCGCAGACGTACCTCAAACGCCGTGTCTTTGGCGGTGAACGGCACGGCGAGGCTGTAGTGGGTCCGGTTCTCTTTGAAGCTGTAGATCTCGGCCAGCTCGGGCGTCAGCTGTCGAGGTCCGACCATGGTCTCAAAGTTGTTGCCTTGGCTCCCGTACGCCACGCTGATGTAGAACAGGTTCTGGTCGCAGGTTCCGGTGATGGTGATGGTGGGAAGTTCTGAAGCAGGAGAGAACTTCTAACCAGGAGACCAACGCTGTGAAAATCATCAGGACAGAAACACGGACTCACCAACGTCTCGCAGGGAGGCGTGCAGGTCCACTCGGTGGGCGAACGGCGTTTCTTCAGGCAGGACCATGAAGCCAAAGACCAGGGGGAGGAAGTAGGTGGTGACCATCGGCTCAGAGTTCTACGAATATTAAAGAAATCTCAGCGGCGCCGTAAAAACATCGAAACGTGGGAAACAGGAAGTTCTTCCTACCTGTTTCAGGACGGCGTCGGCGCTGAACGGCACTGTCAGGGAGAAGCTTCTGGATCCGTTGGCGAAGACGTGCTCCTGGACGGTGAATCCTCTGGCGTTACTTTCGCCCACGGTGAGAACGCCGGTGGGAAACGTGATGTTCCTGAGCTCCACATCAGGGAGGAACGTCCCAACATGGACGCTGAAGACACGGTCCTCTGGGACGGTAGCTGTGTGGACAAGATGGCGGTTAACCCTAGAAGACGATCTCTGGGTGATGTTCCTGATGTTGTCTGTCTGAGTATCTTCAGCGTTTCCTTTGACATCTTTGAAGACAGATTTGTTTCTCTGATCCTAAACCTGCTTTTTCCTACAGACTCGTGTTCACAGGCTGATGTTAGTGATGGAGGGTAAAGTAGGTTTGGGTGGATTTGACAGAGTGGGTGGGTCAGAGTGGTCCTGGAGTTTACCTGCTATCTTTATTTAGTGCAGTGGTTATAAATAACTGTCACAAAGTCGTGATTTTAAGTGAGTTCAGATGGAGATCAGAAATATTGGAGTCATTTTTACTCCAGATCTGACAGATTCTGGTTCTGAGGACCCTGGGTCTGAACCAGAGAAGACTCACATGGAAAAGAAAATTTAAACAGTTTAAATATTTAAATATATTTTAAGTGATTTTTCTTGATGAATGTCTAATTTCAGTTATTTTGATGCATTTTTATCCGGTCCCCTCATGTCACTTTGTACAGTGGCCAAGAACTGCCACTGCAAAAAAATAAATAAATAAAAAAATTAATTAAAAAAAAATAAAAATAAAAAATTCCCCATCACCCCCTTTTTTTTTTTTGAGTAACTTCTGTTGTAGTTTAATTTTTTTTTTTGCGTTCTCTTCGTATTTGCTGCAGTGGCGGTCCTCGGCCACCGTACCTTTTAAAAATAAAAGGAAACGATTTTAATTTGTCGTGTTTTAATGACAAGGACTCTCTCGGGTTTATTATAATCATCTATTATTAAAATCTCCCGTTAGCGATGGCGTTACTTATTTTAGTGATCTGGGGTCAAAGTGGGATCCTCTCAGAGGGGCGGGGTTCAGACTCACCGTCCTGGGCGTGTGGAGGTCTGGGCATCAGGGGGGTGGTGATGGGGAACAGGACCTTGTAGCGGGTGTCCTCTTGGGTGTTGTCGGCCCTCCACAGAACCTCCAGCATGGGCTCCAGGGTGAAGGTGACGTGGTACTGGAAATCTGGGGCATGGCTCTGAAATTATTCATGAGGTTTGAATAAAACATGGCGGAGAAGGACCAGGTGACCTCAGTGACTCATCAGATCCAGATCTTTCCTCACACCTTGTAGTAACCGTCAGGCGAGCCCACTGGGATCTCCACGATGATGTGGAAGTCCGTGGTGGTCAGCGTGTAACCCCGGGCCGCCATCTGAGAGCGGTCCAGCCGCTGCCCGTTGATGCCCATGTGCATTTCAATGACTTTAACGCCGCCGTCCACCAGAGGGGTGACGCGGCGAGGAACGTGCCAAGAGATGACCTCCTCGGTGAAGAGGACGCCACCTTTGAACAGAACAGACCGATCCTAGAACAGTCCTACAACGACGCCCCTGTACCCATGATGCTCCGTACTCACCTGTAGGACAGGCAGCCGCCATGTTGACCACATTCAGACCGTGAGGCGCCTTGTAGTACACGCTCACTCTGAAAACCTCCATGGGGACGCCGGCGACCTGAGGAAGCAGTTAAACGGCGTTTACAGGAAGAAACTTCCAGAAACAGGAAACGAGGTCACTACCTACGTCCTCTGAAGACGTCTCTGCTGTGTTGTACGGGCTCCTCATCACCAGACGGTTCGTGGTCATCATGGCGCCATAACCAGCCTGCCCCGCCTCCCTCGGCACCATGGACACCGGCTCTGGAGTGTAAAAGGTCACCTTCCAGATCCCAGGAGTCTCTGCAGAGGTCTGAGGAGGACAGGAGGATCTGAACCGGGTCTGTTCTGACGGAGAGACTCTGAACGTTTAAAAAAGGGATATTCTGACTAATTTAGGGTCAAACACATGATCAGAAATGTTCTTCCTTGAGCTGCGGCACCCCGCTGTAGTCTGTAATGGACTGGCCTGAGGTCTCTCTACAAACAAGCGTCTGCTGGAAGAGAGTAGGTGAGTTGTGTTTAGTCTCTTTGCTAAAGTTGGTTTGATTAGAGAAGGAAGCGGTCGACAACATTCATCTCTGGAGGCGGGGTCTAACTCGGGGTTACGGTGGGTTTGACCTTTAATTTAATGCTGGAATATCCCTTTAAAGCGGCGTGAGGAGACCTCTACCTCAGGGACGGCGTTCATCTTTGAATCGTCCTCCTGACTTTGACCTTTCGCTCCTGCATCAGGGGCGGCGATGTAGTTCGACACCTGGAAACAGGAAGTACAACCTCATCACTGAAATATGACGGCCTGACATCAGCAGGTAGGTGCACACACACACACACACACACACGTACTTCCATGTAGTTCCTGTCACAGAGGATCTCTCTGGAGGCCCAGCGGCTGTGGCTGCAGGTCTGCGTCACATCATGGCTGACAACATCTGATGGACTCTGGCCGAACATCCGCAGTCTGAGACCCACCGTGAACCTGGAGTCTTCCTGTTCGTCCAGAGATGGAGGTGGGAGTGAGAAGGAGGTTTTTAAAAAAGGAGGATGTTTGAGTGTGAGAGTGAGTGAGTGAGTGAGTGAGTGAGTGAGTGAGTGAGTGAGTGAGTGAGAGAGAGAGAGAGAGAGAGAGACAGAGAGAGAGAGAGAGAGAGAGAGAGAGAGAGAGAGAGAGAGAGAGAGAGAGAGAGAGAGAGAGACAGAGAGAGAGAGAGAGAGAGACAGAGAGAGAGAGAGAGACAGAGACTTCTCTAAACCTGAAGTCGGGCTGAGCGATAAACATGGAAAATTAATGTCCCTCAAATCAATATAAAACATGATCAATATCCTTTTCAATACTTGTCATTCTGATCTTTAATCTGTATTTTTAACTCCAGTGAAACAGATCAATGATTATGATCGTCTGACTATTAAAGGAACCAGATTTACCCGAAAATACACATGGAGCTCAGTTTTTAAGATTTATTTCCAGAATAAATCTCAAAACAAAAAAAAAAAAGAATAGCCAATAAGAAGGAGTTTCTCCACTTCCCTCTGAACCAATCATGTTCTGAATTAGAACCAAGTATCAAACAGCTGTGTCGTAGCAGACAGCAGCTCCACCCAATCATAGCACTTTAACATCACAACGACAAAACGCCAAAGAGACACAAAGACCTCACAGATGATTATTGTGTTGGAGAAGACATGAGACCAATAAACACTGTTAGATTTTTATATCCTGGTATTGATCGATGATCAGCTGACATCGCCCAGCCCGACCCTGAAGTTCACCTCTGCGGGTCTCAGACTTTTCTAAACGTCATGGTCTCTCAGACTCAGACGGAGCTGCAGATCATGAAGGTCACTCTTAATCGGAGAAGAAAACGGATCACAGACGACGACAAAATAAACCAGGATGTTCTGAAAATCACGCCGTCTGCTCGTCAAAAACATTTGGACCATGAAGGTCTTCAGAACCGAGAAGCTATAAGGAAATGGGGGGTGTGAAACCCTCGACTCAGCATACTTTGTTGTCCACGTAGCAGGCCAGCAGAGAGCTGTAGATCCTGGTGTTCCCCCACGGGTCCGACTCCATGCTGTACCCACACTGAGCAGCCAGACTGGGAGTCAGCAGAGTCTTCTGGGAACCATCTGGAAGGAGAAACAGGGTCACGGTTCTGCTGACCCACCTGTCTGTCGACGGTCAGAACCACACTCACTCAGAGCTTCCACCTCCAGCTGGTTCCCCACCGCCAGAGCTTTGTCCAACCACAGCCTCATGAGATTCCCCGCGCAGTCTGACCTCAGGCCGCCGTCTGTCAGGGGAGAAGGTCAAAATCAGCTGATTCAGAAACTGCAGAGTCAGCGTGTTTGAGGGTCAGGTCTTACTTGACTGAAGGTTCTGTTTCAGTTTGGGCCTCGCTTGTCCCAGAACCACGACAGCAGCCACCAAGCTCCAAAACAACCTTCATTAGAGAGAGGAACACGGGTCAAGGTCCGAGAGAAGAGACTCTGAGAAGAACCGTGAAGACGGACTCACCTGCTCTCACGAGTCCACATGCTGAACCGTCCAACACCGACACTACAGGAACCCAATCAGAGAGAGAGAGCGGCACCAGCAGAGCGGTCCTGCTGCTTTACTCTGCACGCCCAGGTGTTCCTCATTTCAGATAATGACTCCACAGGTGAGGAGCATCAGGAACGCCCCGCCCACCTGAACCTGCAGCTTCTCCAAGAAACCAAGAAAACCTTCAGAGAACTACGATCAAATCCTCTATTGCTCGGTGATTATTAACATGATTGATCTTCATAGAGAGACAAAAATCAAACCAGTTTATTCACATTCATCTGAATCACTTTAACATCTCCAGACTGTTCCTCTGAGAGCCATGTGGCTGCAGGTCTTTCCTCCAACCAATCGAGAGCAGCAGTCGGACCAATCAGCTGTCTGAAGACTGATCAGCTGATCGAGTCTGGTCAGCTGCTGCTTGGTTGGAAGGAAAACCTGCAGACACACGACCCTCTGAGGAACAGTTTGGACATTCCTGCTGTAAAGACTGAACCAGAGGACTCCTGGAGGGTCTGAGGAAACATCTCATCTCCTCCAAAGTTCATGTTTGTTCAGAGTCTCGTCCTGAAAGTGCTGATTCAGCAGACGTGGAGGAGATCTGAGGTTTCAGGACTTTTAATCAGACATGTGAAGATCAGGATCAGGACTCCGTTTCTTCTTCTGACTGATGAACCTCCATGAGAGAAGATCTCCTCTGTGTCCGAGGTCGGCTTCGTCTTCGTCTTCTCCTGCAGCAGAGAGACTCCACGTCTCCTCGTCTCCACCCATCTGAACTCTTTATTATCGTTAGTTTTATATCTGTCCCCAGTCTCTTTATGACCCACAATAAAACCAAAGCTCATCATCACCCCGCTGTCGTGGTCGCTCAGTCTCCTCCCCCTCTGACTGCGCTCACATTTACATCATCAAACACTTTCTTTATCGAGGCGCCGTCACCGAAGAATCATGAGAGCTGAACTAAAACCATGAAAACGACTGAAATGACTGAAATGACCGATCACTGCGACTGAGTTATCAGAGTGTGTGTGAGTGTGTGTGTGTGAGTGTGAGTGTGTGTGTGAGTGTGAGTGTGTGTGTGTGTGTGTGTGTGAGTGTGTGTGTGTGTGTGTGTGTGAGTGTGAGTGTGTGTGTGTGTGTGTGTGTGTGTGTGTGTGTGTGTGTGTGTGAGTGTGTGTGTGTGAGTGTGTGTGTGTGTGTGTGTGAGTGTGTGTGTGTGAGTGTGTGTGTGTGTGTGTGTGAGTGTGTGTGTGTGTGTGAGTGCGTGTGTATGAGTGTGTGTGTGTGTGTGTGTGAGTGTGTGTGTGAGTGTGAGTGTGTGTGTGTGTGAGTGTGTGTGTGTGGGGGGGTCCTGTTCTCAGGGGTCACTGCAGGTCGTTTTGTCTCATCTGTACCAGATAATCCTGATCCTCTCTCCCGTACCCTCCGATCCTCAGAGGGAGATCTTCCGACCCCCTCGGACCATCAAACTTGGGGGGACAGAGTCTTCTCCGCTGTCACCCCCACCCTCTGGAATTCACCCCCCAAACCCACCTGAGTCTGTACAGACCCCCACTCTGTTAAATCACTGATAAAAACACCTTTTTAAACGACTTTAACCCGTGAATCTCTTCTTTTATTGTCTCTTCATGCTGCGTCTTTATAAAGGGTCTTTGAGCTCCTGTGAAAGAGCCTCATAAATAACATTTATTATTAATAATATTATTATTATTATTATTATTATTATTATTATTATTATTATTATTATTATTATTATTATTATTATTGTTATTATTATTTTTCTTTGGATGGTTAAACTTTACACTAAGTCTCATCATTTCAGCCAACGTGGTCAAACTTCTGCTGTTTCACATTTCAGGGTCATAAACATGGTCTCTGTGGTCCATGAGGTCTCAGGGTCATAAACATGGTCTCTGTGGTCCATGAGGTCTCAGTATCCCCTTTGGACCTTGTGCTGCTGGTCCAGGAGAGTCTGCTTCAGACTCACTTTGGCGTCCTGGAAATCTGGATTGAGTTTTAAGGCGTCCTGGAAGTCCCTCTTGGCGTCTTCGAAAAACCCTGCAGTGAAATCATAAAGAGGTTTTTATGAGTCTAAGTGCTTCATTCAGAGTCGCAGGTCTGCCCGCGTAAAAGTGGGATCACAGCGCCACCTGGTGTTACTGAGGACTCACATACAGCATTAACAGACCGACTGGACTGAAGTCTCTGATTTAGAGGACGGTTTGAGGGGATAAATCAGAGGTTCTCAGCTGGTCTCACTCTGGGACCCTCAGTTTTCCCATGATCCTTCACTCACAGCCCACCTTTATAAAATTCAAACCAAACTAATTTAATTTTTATTAAAAAAACCTGAAAGACTCAAATCTTCAACAGAAATTCACCGAGTAAAGTGTTTTTCAGAGCAGATGACCTGAGGACGACGACGACTGAAGTTACAAACACAGAAAATATCAATAAATATCAAAATCAGATATTTTCAAAATAAAAGACGACTGAAGTTACAAACACAGAAAATATCAAATAAATATCAAAATCAGATATTTTCAAAATAAAAGACCTGTCAAATATCAGACGCTCTTAAAAAATTTACTTTTTTAAGACCATCCAGACCACGGCCCACTTTAGGGTCGGGACCCACCAGTTGAGAACCACTGCTCTCTAAACCAGAGACCCTCCAGAGTTAAAGTCTGCTGGTGGGGTCAGGAGGACCAGTACTATATATATATATATACAGTCTATGGTCCCATCTTTCCCAGTAAGACTCTGTGGGGTCCTGGTTTACCTAGTCTATAGTGGATCAGTCCTAGTTTGGGGTCCTGGTTTACCTAGTCTATAGTGGATCAGTCCTAGTTTGGGGTCCTGGTTTACCTAGTCTATAGTGGATCAGTCCTAGTTTGGGGTCCTGGTTTACCTAGTCTATAGTGGATCAGTCCTCTGTTGTAGTAGGGGGTCTCGAAGCTGCTGTCGGTCTGGATGGCACAGGTGTAGTCCTCCACAGCCTCCCGGAAGTCCACTCTCAGGTACTTGATCTGACCCCGGTTATTAAAGGCCGTGGACAGGAGTTTGGGGTCAGATCCTCTGAGGATGAACCACACTGTCATTAAACTGTCATTATATCTTTATTAAAACTTCATTAAAGGGAGAGAAATCAACAAAAACACCAGTTTAATGTTAGCGGAGCAGGGGGACAGAATTACACGGTCACAGAAAGCAGCAGAACACCAGCTGACATGTTGACTGACAGTTCGAGAGGACGGAGGACTTTAGAGAAGGACAGACGGTACCTGGACTGTGAACATGAAGAAATAAACTCGGAGTATAACTCCTCAGCCTCTTTATAGTTCTGCTTCTGAAACTCAGAGTGAGCCTGGTCCAGGATCTGAGGAGTCCGGGCCTCCATGAGTCCGAGAGTACTTCCTCTGTTTTCATTCTTCTTCTTCTTCTTCTTCTTCTTCTTGTTTTGCGGCGGATGGCAAACCAACTTGATGGTGCGTTAGCGCCACCTACTGGACTGGAGTGTAGGACAGTGAAATCTTTCAGATGTTCCGTTACTGCTGAAGTAGATCTTCTGTTCAGAGTTGGTTTTCTTCTCTAATCACTTTTTACTGCGTCTCCAGTGGGCGTGTCTGACCATCAACTGACCGAAACTAATCCATCAAATACTTTTAATAAAGGTTTATTCCTTTTGTGTGACGAATCGTGTTGTGAGTATTTTATAAACAGCAGATTTGAACCCTGGAAAACTGGACTGAAGCATCTGTTACAATAAAACATGAACACAGACTATAAACAGGATAAATCTGTAAAATAAAGTGATTTTTTTGTTATGTTAGGACAGGAATGTGACCAACAGACCGAACAGGAGCAAACTCACAAACAGGCTGGTGGGAAATTCTCTCAGGTGATAAAGTCAGAACCGTCTCTGTGGAAAAACACTGTGAGGAAGTCGAGGTCTCTCAGAGCCGTGAAAAAAACATCCTTTTCGTGGGTCATTTCCCTGCAGACTGAGTGGACGAGTGGAAACAGATCAGACAGAGAGAGGAGGGACCCTGAGAGAGGAGGTGCAGGACTCTGTAGGACCTGTGAGATCTGAGTTATGGAGGTGAGGAGGTCCTCTTCTCTGACTCACATCTCTGCAGAAACACGTCTGAACGCTGTGAGTCAGTTTACTCAGATCACAGACGTCCACATATAAAACTAAATCTAGTGAAATAGGGTGAGTTCATCACTAGGAGTTTTTTTTTTTAATCTGCTTTTTGTTTTTAGAAAACAGACAGAAAACAGTCCAGACTGAGGACCTGATCCTGGTCTTCAGAGAGGACCGGCTCAGTGACGTGAACCTGCTCTGAAATCCCCTTTATTTCCATCCCTGTCTGTTTGGAGTTTTCAGCTTCATGAACTTTTTAATTTCAAGGATTTTAATCAGTCAGTCTCACGATCATCATCACCATCTGCTTTACACAGAAAAAGGAACAAAAGAAACAAAGAAAACCCTGATCTACCCAAACCGCTCAT